CCACCCATCCACCCACACGAAGCCCTTTTGTGCTGGCTGCTTGTGCTGGTGTTTGGTTACGTTGCGAGGGAGTGTAGGAGTTTCTGGAATGACTTGGGCTGCAGAAGGGACTGAAACATGGAGTAGTGCTGCTCCAGCTGGGCGCGCAGGTCGAACAGGCAGTCGGGCAGGGGACACGTCAGCTTGTCCACACGCCGGGACATGACCACCTCTGCAGTGCACCACACGTATCAGTCAACACAAATCAACACACACATGTGTATGTGTGTGGGTGCTATGTATGTGTGTGTGTGTCAACTGACCCTCGAAGTGTCTCGCGATGCACGGCTTGCAGAAGCGGTGGCTCGAGGGGCACGGCAAGGTCACACTGCCGTCCACAGGATGCTCATACAAACTAAACCATCACATACACACACACAGACAGAGAGAGAGAGAGAGAGCAGAGGCGTCACCCCACAGAGAGGAGGGTTGCAGAGGTGACTGACCAGATGGCGCACTGGAATGTTGGCGTGTCCCGCTGATCGTCGTCCCGTTCGTTCTGCAGCTGCTGGATCAGCTCAAGGTTCGCAGCACTCTCCTGCTCCAACTCACTCTGACACACACACACCACACACACGGACACACACAAGCCACAGATGACACCCTTGCCCTGCTGCACGGCAGACACCAGCTGACCTTGAGGCTCTCTCTAAAGTCATGTGACACCGCTCGCTGCAGGTCTTCGGCGGTGAGGACGGAGTCGCACGAGGCCACGGGGCAGGCCACATCGACCAGCACAGAGCCGTGGCGACGCACCTCCCCCCTCCTGCGCGGCACACACGCACACACACACAGACAGGAGAGAGAGAGAGAGGGGCAAAGAGCATATGAAGGGGCTGGAGGGGGGTGGATGGGAGAGGGAGGGGTGTGTGTGTGTGTGTGTGAGCACCAATATTCTCTGAGACAGTCCAGGTGTATGTACACCCCACAATGCAGCCGCTGCAGCCGCAGTAGAGGCTGCCCGCCCTCCCCCTCCCCCTCTCTCTCGTCTCTCCCTCCCTCTCCCTCTCCCTCAACGTCTACCACCCCGTCTCTCAGACACACGCAGCACATCTGAGTCCGGCTGCTGCTGCTATTGTTTTGAGCAAAATCACCAACACCAGCCGCCATCGGTGTGGCCGCTTCACCCTCTCCCTGCCGCCGCTGCATCGGCACGTTCCCGCCATGCATCTCAAGCACCGGGGTCTCCTGCACATCTGGTGTGGCTGTGGCTGTGGCTGTCGGCTCCTCTCTCAACCCAACACCCACACCAACACGCACACCGGCAGCACCAGGGTCGTCATCAATGGCTACAGCCGCCGCCGGCAGGTCGGCCTGTTCCACAGGGGGGCTGAGGACGATCGTCCCGCAATGATCGTGGTCGTCACCCCCGCCTCCGCCCCCTCCCCTCCACACAACCGGTTCCAGCGACAGTGCACATGGGCTGGGTGATCCCTCGGTCCCTCGAGAAGCCGCGGTCACAGGGCTGTCCAGCGGCGGCAGGGAGGCCGGCACGGGCGAAGCCGCTGACACGAATCCCTCAGAGGCCTCGGCGTCGTCTGCTGCGGTGTCATTGCCGTCTATGGCTGCGAGCGAGACCTCGATGGCCGTGTCCACTGCGCAATGGTCGTGGTTGTCCTCCTCCTGGCCCTCCCCAAAGTCGCCCCAGCCGTCATCCACGTCATTGGCCGTCATCAGGGCGGCCGCACCGTCAGAGATGCTTTTGCAGGGTATGGCTGGAGGGGGGTGCAGGGACCCCTCGGTGAGCGGCCGGTCTTGGGTGTCACGGTGGTGGGTGGGCTGGTTGCCATCATTGCCATCTCCCTCCCCCTCTCCATCCCTTCTGTCTGCGTGGCGGGATGACGACACGGGCGTGTGGTAGACTTCGACTTCGTCGCTCTCATTCGCCTCTCCCCCCTCTCCCTCCCCAGACCCGCCCGACACCTCTTGACACTCTGCCGTCTGGTGCTCGGATTGTGGTGCCATGGCCGCACCCCCAGTGCCGACCTCGTCATCAGGGATTTCCGCGCAGGTCTGGAGGTACTGGACCAGCTCGGAGCACACCCTCTGCCGCAGCGCCGCGCCCTGTGCGGCCAGGGCGGTAGGGGGGTGCGTGCGTGTTTGGGTGGTGGCGATGGTGGTGGGCGGGGTGGCGGCGTCATCGAATATGGAGGAGGGGATGGTGTCCAGCTCGGCGAGGCTGGCGCGGAGGGGGTCGATCATGCTCATCAACTGCATCCGTCCATCCATCCATCCATCCACATGCTCGTGGGTGGAGGGGTGGGTGGGTGCGGTGTTTGGCGTCACTCACTGACCTGTCCGAGCACCACGTCGGCGTCGCATGGGTCGTTCTGCAGACGGCGCCGCTCTAATTGGTTCCGCAACAACTCCTCTAGACAGCTGAGCAGGCCCTGAAGACCCACACATGCGCCTGCACGCCGCGCCCTTCATGGTGAGTCACCGCTGACTCACCCCGGTAGACTCTACGATGCCCTGAGTGGTGAGAAGCAGCCGACTCCATCTAGCGGCCACCCGCTGTCTGAGGTTGCCGGAGGCCATTGTCTTGTCCCCGCCTCCTCCCCCGCCCCCCCGAGCCACCCATGGCACCAGCCCGCCCTCGCCACCATCACTGCTCGCATTCTGGCTACTCGTGCTCACCTGCATCACGCACACACAGCGCCCACCCACCACACCCACCCACCCACACCCACACACACACACGTGCAACGCTCCTTCCCCCATCCACACCGCCTCCTTATCACTGCCCTCACTGACCGATAGCTGCATCTTGGGCCGAGCCTTCTCCCGCTCCCACCGCTCCGACCGCGGCATGACGACGAAAGCGTCCTCAGGCCGATCGGTAGTGTACAGGACGTCATAGTGGCCGGGCCGCAGAAGCACGTGCAGCATCATGCAGCATGGCTGGGGGGATGAAATGGCGTCTCGGGAGGATGATGCGGGTGAGCCCCTCGATGACTGTGAGGGAGAGTCGGCCTGGGGCGGCAGGGGGGCAAGGTCGACCTGCCCGCTATGTGTGTCGCTGCAGTCTACAATAGGGAGAGGAGGAGAAGCCGATGGCGAAGCCGACGGAAATGGTGACGGTGCAGCGTCCTCAGCGTCAGGCCAGCTGGCGGGGCTGTGCACGACTCCACCCACATCGCTGCCGCCCTGTGTGGTGCTGCCGCCGGTCGTGCTGCTCGCCTCGCCGCCCTTGGTGTGGTCGTGGTCGCTCTTAAGAGCCGACGACTGCTCGCGGTGGAGAGGGGGGTCGCCGCCGCTGCTGCTGGTGGTGGCGGCAAAGCTGCTGGGGCCGTACTCGATGATCTGCGGCTTGTCACCGTCTCTGCACGCACACATGGGAGCCGTGGGTGGGGCGAGGCCATTCATGAGCTTGGGTGCGCACCTGTGGACCATGACGATGCACACGCGCACTTTAAGGACATAGGGGCAGGCAACAAGGGTGACGTCTGCAGCGTCCTCGCCCATACGCAGCACCGAGTCGCTGAATGGTTCACACGGGTGGCGACACACACACACACAGGGGTGGGGCGCCTGTGTGGGTGGTTGCAGCCTCACTCCGCTCACTTGATAAAGTTGTTCATGTTTTGGTATGCGGTGGATTGCGCCCAGACGTCATAGGTGATGTGCCCGTTCTGCTCATGCGACCCATCGGGATTCACCTCCTCCTAACCAACACACACACACACACACACGCATCCTCTCCCTCTGTGTCTGTCTGTCTGTCTGTCTGTGTGTCACCTGAGCGTTTTGCTCAAGGAAGCGGCTGACAAGGTGCCTCAGCACGCGCACAAAAGCGGCGTCGTATTCATCCGAGTTGAAGGTGGTCCACACCTCGTCGATCAGGCGGGCCACCTCGGGCGGCTCGGTGATGTCCGTCCTCGCCATACTGCATCACCTGCAGCGCACACACACATAACACAGAGAAAGGTGTGGGTGGTTGGGCTGGTTTGTGGGGTTTGTGGGCTCGGTGCGGACGGACCGTGTCATGCAGCTCTTCAAGCATCTCTGGCCGTGCCCAGAGCGCCGCTTCGATGTAGCTGTACAAGACGGCACGATAGTAACAGTTCCCATCCCCACGCACCGATCGCCAACCTGACCACACCA